TGTGATTCCTTATGGACCAGGTTTCCTTCTTTAATAAAGCTTTTTTTCATTTGACACCAACCTATGAGTCTGCATTTGGGGTCACCTCCATCACTAAACCTGACATCCAGCTGCTTTTTTGCAGACATAATTGCACAAACATGCAAACACATGTTTCTGCAACTTGTTGTGTTTCTAGTTTGGTCTTTTGGACTTCCTGTATCTATTGCCAGCTGCTTTAAACTAAGTCAGAGGTCTTCAACAGTTCACACATGTGAACTGTTAAGAGCTCCTTTTTTGAACGAGCAGCAAAGCCAGTACAAGAAGAGGAGGGGTTGCAGAGGTGTTTCGATTTCACTCACATTTGTTTCGATTTACCTCACTGACTAGCTGATTAGGTTTAGGAGAAAGTCAGGGTTTGGCTTAAAAAGAGACATAAATAAGTTCACAGAAATAAATGCACACTGTGATGGTGAAGGTCACCAGTCTGTTGTGCCAAGTTGGGAGAGACACTGGGCCATTAAAAGCTGAACTGATCGGGTTTTCATCTCCATGCTTTGCCACAATTGTATAAAATCATGCACCAAGCCGTATATCCTGCATTTATAAACATTTACGAAAGAACGCCGTCGGTTTTGAGAGGTCACTGGTTTGGTAGTTGGATGGCACCACAGCAACAAATCAGTCTCTAAAATCTATTTCTTCTTAGACAATCCACGATCAACTATCAGTAAAGTTAAAGAGTGTTGTCGTGGAGTGCTGAGGTGCATAGTACATAAAAGTCACGAGTCCTTTAGGTGTATATATGGCTCCATTACTTTTTGCCATATATGTAAGGTTTTCCAGGCTGGTCCTCTCCTCAAACTATAAAACCTCAGGTCAGAGTGGTGCTACTTGAATTTTTATGTTAAGGAACTGACCAAAATCTAAAAAAAAAAACTGATGTGGCAGTAGCACGCCACTGTTAAAGGAGACATTAATGTCAGTGGTTTGGAATATTTACAACACAGTAATCCCAGTTTACTGATGAAAACTTACATCAAATGCAAAATTTATTTGCCTCCTGGAGTAGAAATTATTAGAAAACCAAAATGTTCACCCCAGTCTTATGACAGCTCATAAAGCTATTTGTTACTGTGCAGGAGTGACAACATCATTTTTAACTGATTTCCAAGAGAGGCTTTTTACTACTTCTTCCTCCCAGCTTCCTGTCGTCTTTCCAGTGACTCAGGTGTTAGAGCGGTTTAAATACCAAACGGGCTGATCCCTGATTCTCCGGCCACATGCCCAATAATCTTTGAGCAAGATACCGAACCCCGAGTTACATCCATGAGTGCGAGTTTGTGTGTGTGAATGTAAGAAAGATAAAAAGGATGAGTGTGTGTGTGTGTGTGTGTGTGTGTGTGTGTGTGTGTGAGACTGGGTCAATGAGACCTGCAGTAGAAAGTGCTTTGAGTGCTGAATTGAGTAGAAAGGCGCTATATAAGTACCATTCCATTTATACCCATGGGGGATAAAACCCCCCAAAATATATCTTTGTAAAACTGCTTCAAGCATGATTTTGCACTTGCATTCCTGAGATTATTCCCTGAAGGAACTCATCACACAGGTAAACTGGAAGATAAAATATTTTCCACCAGCTTCAACTAAATATAACCACAAAGTTTTGGCTTCTTGCTCTCAGCAAATCCTTTTTTGTCCGCCTAAAGCTAACTAACCACTGAATGAAAACAAAATTTAAGTATAAAACTCTCAAAGCTGAAGATCTTGTGACTTTTGCCACCACATCCAACAACACGTACTGCTCAAGGCTGACCTTGCAGCTCTTTCAAAGACTGGAACCGCAACAAATTTGGTCCACGAGCACAATTCAGTAATTTATTTTACACTAGTTTGCAAAGTGTCACAGCTGTTGTTTGCGTGAATCTACACAGATTACATGAATCTAAATCGGAAAAACGGGGCAATTTTTAATGGTTTGTGTGACTGCACAGTTCAAAATAAAATCCAGCCGCTTTAAAAATTTGAACTTACGCCACTGAAAGGCAAATCACTTTTCCTCTTAGTCTCGCTGGCCTGTTTTGGATCCTCTCTGCATTTTTAACCTCGTTTTTTTTTTAGCGTTAATCTTTTCATCTTTCAATTCAAAACCTCACCCACCGCCACATCCTTAGCAGCCATGACCTTTTCTCTTTCAGCTCTGCTTTTGTCAGACTCAGAAATAATCATTGCTTTCCTCTATCTCACACTAATTGCTTTTATACAGTACGTAGAGGGAAATGTATAAGCAAGTGGTTGCCGTGCCAACCGTATCCACTGCATTCACCCCCTCGTGTGTGTGTGACTGACAACAAGCAGAAGAAGAAAAAAGGTTTAAGGAGAACGAGCCAAGTGAGCGGTAATCACTGAGAATGAGAAACTACTGAGATTTCCTGAAAAACTGTGTTCAGCATCAAATGCATTAACCCACACACATGCACACATTTCTCTCTCATGCGTCGCATTTCCTCAGCAGTGCTTTTACATGACTCTCACACTCTTATCAATCCTTTCGCCTCTGTCACTCTCAGCCTGTGGCCTCTGTCTCCCTGTCAGCTGCAAAATGCGATAATTATAGGTTAAGCAAACTCCTCTTCCTCCTTCACACCCACACACGTTGTGTTATGTCATAACCTTCAGCCCCCCCCCACTTGTTTATTCTGTTCGCTCTGTCTTCATCTCTTCAGTATCATCTCTTCATTGTATTCTTTCTCTACGCAACGTCCGTGCAACTGTCTTTTAGAGAAGCGGGGAAGAAAAGGCTGCGTAGGCTCTGAGTGTTTCTCACTGGAGAGAGCTCCTTCTTGCAAGGACATTAAAGCAGCTCTCTTTGATTTGGAGCATTCATTTGATTCTTTGTTTACTCAAATTGAGAGGTATCCTTGATTGAAAATGTTCTTTGAAGCAACAAGTCAAGGCACAAGATGCGATTTCCAGATCATATTAAACTCACTTGCTGTTTCGGGGGATTTTATGATCCATAATAAACATATTCGAGCACAGAATCAGTTCAAGCAGGCACAAATTCAAGCCACAAACAGCCATAACAGGCCGATTTCAGTTCAGCTCAGGCTCAATCAATACCCAGTTCTAATGGATTGCTATTTAAGTTGTGGTATTTTAAGTCACTTTAGCCTGCCTACAGTTGATGCATATCTGCAAGCTGCTTTGCAGCCCACCTCCACTCCAGCTTCTTGTTTTCATGCTGTGTCTAACTTAATATCTGCTGTTGGTTTTGATGTCTGCTGTGTTCTGTGCTGGGTCTTGCTGCTATTCCTGGCAGCAACCCCTGGCCTAACCGAGATGCTGAAGCTCAACCTGAGCATCAGAATAGAGGGATTTAAGTGAATCTGGATGTCGCAAGGTTGTTGGTGCCAGGCGGGCTGGTCTGTGTATTTTAGAAGCTGCTGATCTGCAAACTGTTTTTAACAGTAATTCAAAAAACACCCTCACTACAACCAAAGTATGCAGAAGAGCACTGAATTTAAAAAATACTGGAGCATGATGCAGATGGGCTTCAGCAGTAGAAGAACGGGACACTCGATCTAAAAGTCTCACAAAACTGGTCTACAGAAAATTTGAAAAACATTGCCTGGTCTGATGGATCTCTATTTCTGCCGCAACATTTAGGTGGCAGGGTGAAAAAACGGATCGTTGCCGTGTAGCAACTGTTCAGGTTGATGGTGGAGAATTTACATTTTCACAATACACACGAGAGCTGCTAATGTGAAGTCTTTAACTGCAGCAGTTTTAAGCAATCTATCTGTAATTTTTTCTAATGATTATTTTCATCTCTGAAAAATTGCAAGTATGCAGTAGAGAAAAATGCATGTGCTATTTATTGCATGATAATATTTGCAGCTTTTTCATCGGAGGTTTTCAATCAGTATGAGCATACAGTGGTTTGACTTTTATGTGAGTTTTGAAAAATTATGGGCAATGGAGCTTTTCCGAGCCGACCCGAATCCCTGATTTAATTGCTGTCATTTCCTTAAAGTCCTCACCAGCCTCTAACATAATGCAGTACTGCGATAAAACTTTCAGGACTTTTAAAAATGTTCAATACACTTTAAAAAACACACTCAACTTATTCCACTAATAGATATGTGGCTGGAAGGTAAGATTTGTTTTTCCAAACTATAACAAGGTCAACAGAAACTTTTGCACTTGGTAACAAACAATATGTTGAATCTACTGTACGCCCCACAGCGAGCATGCATCTAAAAGTTAATTTAAAAAAAACTAAAAACAAATTTTTTAAAAACTCCTCCTGCACGCTTGTACGGACCCCGCCATTCCTCTGTGAGAAACTTAAAAGGCTATTAACACGACATCTTTGAGGCTACATTTCAAAGCTGTTCTTTCATTTCGGGATTATGGATTCTACTTGTGCAGCCCAGTTTGTGCCAAATCTCGTGTATCTCAGTCCCACAGAGATGTTTTTTTGACTTATTATGTATTCTTTTGTTTCCCACTGTGAGTGCTTTGAACGTTGAGTCGACTCGCTGTCAGGAGCTCTGATGTGACGTCAGGCTCGGAGGGCAGGGGGGGGGGGGGGGGGGGGGTCTATTAACAGCAAAATCAATCAGTCGAGAGGCTGGTTTGGAATAAGAAGCAGCACCGAGCACCGAGGGGCTGATGCAACACATAAAAAGTACAAGGACAAATTAACAAATGATACTACTGATAGACTTCACACTCATAAAAAAAAAAAACCAGTTCATTATCTCAGAAAAAATGATTCAGCTATTTGTTTTCTTTCAGTGAATTTTGACTGGAATTATTGCAGCTGATATGATTAATCTAGAAACCTGCACGGGAATTATATTATTAGTCGTAAGTACATTACTTTAAATTGTATCTAGGAGGCATTATTCTACAGCAGGATGAGGTATATCTCTTTTCCCTTCACCTTAATATTTGTTCCCGATTATAGTGGACTGTGAATCAAAGCATTGATGCACTCAGCCGAGTTCTCCTACCTTAGCAGCCATGACCATGGCAGATCCTCCTCTGATGCCCAGTATGGGGATGTGTGTCTGTGCAGAGATGAAGTCCAGGATCTGAGCGATGGCCTCCTGATCTGTGTCGTCACCGAACACGACGCCTTGCAGTGGGTTCCTTGTCATTTGTGCGCAGATCCGATTGATGATACTTTTGGGGTCGGTCTCGTTCATGGTGACCACCTCGACTTTGGGAGGATACGGGATGTGGAGGAAGTCCTCCTTTTCAAGTCCAGCCCCCAAGGCTACTTCACTAGAGTTGCCCACCAGGATGACAGCAATGCTGAGCGAGTTGATCAACTTGGGACTGATGGGGGGAAGTGCTGGAGAGCCGGGGGAGTAATGCGGAGGGATAACTACACCCCTCTGGTTGCTGCCTCCCCTCTGGCCTCCTTGTCCCCCTGGGGAACCTCCAGGCCCAGTTCCTGGACCTCCGCCCCTGCGGGACTCGCAGACGGGCAAGAGGACAATGGAGAGGAGGAGCAGAGCGAAGGACAGAGAGAGGAAAGGCAGCGTCAGCCGAGGGCATGGATAAGGGTGATAGGATGACCGGTCTGGAGGAGGGGAGGGAGGATGGGGGGAGGAGGAGGAGGGGGAGATCAACTGCTTGTCCTGAAGATGGGAGTGAGAACGGTGGAGGCTGACAAGCATTGTGGAGGAGTGTAAATGCCGTCCCTGGAGGCAAAGAGAACAGAGACAGAAAGAGAAGATAAATGCAAAACATCTGAAAAATGATGTTTAACACTTTAAATATGAACTGAAATATAAATTAATTAATACACAACAGTGATGATGCAAAACACGACCACCTGCAGAAAATGACAGTAATCACAGCCCACGTCAAGAGCTGGGACATATCAGATCACAGTACATTCAGAAAAACAGTCAATGACACATCAATTTGCAAAACAGGTCATGAACGGCCTGCAAAGTTTATCATCATCATGTTCTCATTTTTTCAGCTTTGCGAAAAAACATAAGAGAAACTTCAACAATATAACTCAGTTTACCTGTCGGTTTGCTGTAATTATAAAGAAACATTACTGTCATAAAACAAAAATGCGTTGGCACGGCTTCTCGAATTAGCCGTCCTACTTCGGTGGTATGGCAGAAAGGACGCTGTAAAACTGACAATAACACAGATAATAATTCCCGGAGATAAATCATTCTGCTCTTGGGATGTGATCTTTTCTTGCAACCGAGTGCTTCCTGATGCAAAATACAGGAAAAAGCCAAAAGGTGTAGCCTAAATCGCTGCAATTCCATCCACTGAGCTTGATTGGACCCTTTTGTAGGTTGATTCTGGCCTGCGAGTCAGCTTTTTGACACTCTTTTATTAAGCTTGTAAGCAGCTGGATCTCACAGTCAACATCTTGCATATTGAAGGTGTAAATACCTGAGCTGTTTTGGCATGGGTTGCCAAGGTCCTGCTGTTTGAGAAAGGACAACCCCTGGCAACAGGGCTAGGATTCAGATCACCTCACAACTTAAGGACTTGAAATTGTGTCCAACATAATATTTTTTCCCAAAAGTTTGCACAAATGTTCCTAAATACACTCCTCAGTTTGCCGACATCCGTTTTCAGTCTCACTACAGCTTTCCTTTCAAACGGGCCAGTAACTCGCCATTAAGCTTGCCGGACATACACTATATTGCCAAAAGTATTCACTCACCCATCCAAATCACTGAATTCAGATGTTCCAATTATTCCCAAGACCACGGGTGTATAAAATGTAGCACCTAGGCATGCAGACTGTTTCTACTAACATTTGTGAAAGAATGGGTCGATCTCAGGAGCTCAGTGACTCCCAGCGTGGTACCATGAAAGGATGCCACCTGTGCATCAAATCCAATCATTAAATTTCCTCACCGATATATATTCCAGAGTCCACGGTTAGTGCTATTATAACAAAGTGGATCAGATTTGGAACAACAGCAACTCAGCCATGAAGTGGTAGGTCACATAAAATCTCAGAGCTTTCTGCTCCGTCAATCGCTACAGACCTCTAAACTTCATGCGGTCTTCAGATTTGCTGAAGAACAGTGTGTAGAGACTTTCATAGATTAGGTTTCCATGGCCAAGCAGCTGCATTCAAGCCTTAAATCACCAAGCACAATGTAAAGTGCCGAATCCGGTGGTGTAAAGCATGCTGCCACTGGACTCCAGAGCAGTAATAATGTCTTTGCTCTTTGCTTTATGTTAAGGATAAGGCTAACAAGCCCAGTTCTGGCCAGGCTATCAAAATACAGAAAATTTGACCCTTTAACCGCAGAACAAGCTAAGTGACCCATATAGCTGGAAATAAAACCTCACAGAGAGAGAGAGGGCTGTGAGCTCTCATAGAGCATCAAGTGACAACGCCACATCCATTACACTGTGCCGTGACTTCCTCGGAGGAACCCTGTGGCACACATCAAAGACAGAGCAGGAAAGAGAGGGAGTTTTGTGTGTTTGTGTGTGTGTGTGTAAGTGAGTGTGTGTGCGTCTCTGTTTTAAGGGAGTCATGATAGCACTGGGTGCATTTTGACAGATTGACAGCCTCACAGCTTCATGGACTTGCTGCCAGGCTAAGTGACCATTAGACACTCACTGAGTGTCTCTCCCTCCCTCCCTCCCTCCCTCTCCCTCACTGCTTCCACTGCTTTTCTCTCCTTAGCCCTCCAAACCTGTCTTTTTGGTCGCTCCCTTCAACCCTCTGAGACCCATTTGCTGATCTTTGAAGTCAACTGCAGACCTGTTAGTCAGTATTATTGCCTGTATTCGCTGCTACTATTAGCACATGTACAAAGATGAGCGGAGACGAGCATGGAAGGAAGAGGGGCGAAGGGAAAGAAAGTGGGAGAGATAGAAAAGGGAGAGGCGGGGTGAAAGATGTAAGAAGAGGGAGGTGACAGGCAGGGAGAAACACAATTAGTCATAGCCTGATGTGAGAATTGTGGTTTCTGAGTGCGCGCACATACAAGTGAACAGGGAGTGCAAATTTGGGCATATTTTCTGCACAGATAAAGATGAGGAATCCTAATGAGTATATGTTTATGCCTCTATTCTAAATTAAGCACAAAGGAGCACTTGAGGAGAGGGATAAATGAAGGGTAAGAGTAAAAAGCTTTGTCTCTCTACCTCCTTCACACAACACCTTTGCTAATCTTTTATTTATCAAGCAGCCTGTGTGTTGCGGAGCTGATACAGTCAGCACCCATAGCATAAAAGTCCAAAAAAACCAAAAGAGGGAGAGAGAAGTTGTGAGCACTGCTGATGTCTGACAGAAACCAGCAAATCTGCGCTAAAAGAAAGAGGTCGAACCGCCTGGATGTGATCGCCACATACCAAAGAAAAAAAACCAAACAGTTTGTCTAAAAGGTCTAATTACCAGAGGTTTGTCAGGCTTAATTGCAGGTGCACATGCTAATTGTAAACGAGCTGAATTCTCCATGAAGACACCAGAGCCTAGAGAGAGAGAGGAGGAGGAGGAAGCGAGTGGGAGGAAGGCAGCAGAGAGAAGAGGAGAGAGAAGAGAGGGGCGAGAGGAGAGAATAAATAGAGACATACACAAAAGAGATGGAGGTGGAGGAAGGAACAGCAATAAGAAACCCAAAGGAGGGAGTGAAGGAGGGAGGCGTGGAAGGTGGAAGAAGGGAAGATTAAAAGAAGACATGATTACCATGAGATGATAAAAGAAGGACCAAGGGTGGGGAGGAGGTTAATGAAATGTTTTGGGGTCTATTTTTGTTTTGTGAAAGCTATAGTGTACAGTAAGTTGGATAAAAATGGCTGAACTTCTGAAAATGAGCAGATGAAATCACTCAGAGAGGGCAGTGGAGAGAAAGTATGAAAAAAATGTTTAAAATCCCACAAGAAGTGTGACAGCAGCAGGAGAGGGAGAGAGAGCGGAGAGACGCACAGAATCATCCGGGTTCCTGTGTAACGGCAGAGCTCGGTTTCCATGGTAACAATTCAAATATGCCACCACATAACACCCTGACGGACAGGAAGATACACACAACCCGCACAGTACACTACATGCAGTGCGTGCCCTCTCCTAATAATACACAATTTACTTTTTATCTAAGCTGGCGCATATTGCCGGCGCCGACTCTCACTGACAAAAATAAAATACTTGTAACATAAAACAAACAGCACGAGGGCCCCTTCCGCGCAAACGTGTGCGCGCGCGCTCCCGCACATCCGCACAAACACCTGTGAGGTGAGTTAACGCACTCCTGCAGACGGAGAAGATCCAGTCCTCCTTTTTTTTGACCATACCTCACATTAAAAATGGATGTCCAGAAGTGCTACCGGCAAATAAACAGAAATAACACGATGGATGGGAGCAGCCAGCTCCCACACTGAGCGGGAGCGGCTGTGACATGTGGACTAATCAGACCTTCATGCAACGTCTCCGCCGTCATTAACAGCCCCCCCAAATTAATAACATTTAAACGCAGGGTGTCGAGAGTGGATTATTTACTCACAGCCTAATAGAACAAAACAGCATCAACAAATCCGAGCTGACATTTGAATCTATGTGCTCATGCGTGCCCATTACAGCGCACACACAGCAATTACAAAGAGAACATGGATAAGTGGCAATGGGCGCTAACACAAGACACTGCCATGAGTGCACTTCTTGTATCCAGTAATTTACTGCAGACGTGATTAAACGGCACGTGCAGACACAAAGCCCAAATGTGTGCTCCGTGGGTCAAACACGTTTCAGAAACCAACAAATTTTCGATACACCCCTCTGCACTTTTGTCTCTCATTATGTTTCTCAGACAGGCATTGTTAAAGTTAAGCGAAACAGCTGTGAGGGAAACAGAGCCAGGTTTTATGGTGAAAACATGATCTGTATATAAAAGATGGCCTTAACAATGTCAAAAACTTGAATAATGGCCAACAGGGGGCGACTCTGCTGATTACATAATTTAAAAAAGCTTGAATATAGATGTCTATGACAAAAAAATGTCCTATTGGCTCGCATATTCTATTGCTGTGTTCTTGAATAAGTTGGAAGTCTAACTTTCCGAGTCCCAGTTCTAATTTTAATCTGGAACACTCCCTCAGCTTTTACCACTTGGAAAGCTAGAGCAACCCCAGCAACTCTGAGTTAGTATTCCAAGATGGCAGCACTGGATGTAAACAGTAGTAAAACTGCAAAACCTTTCATTTATATTGCCACTGTTGTGTATTTATGACTCGTTAACTAAGCTATGCACAGAGCACTGACCAAGCTCTATCCACAAATGTCCTGTGCAGAGTTTTTAAGTGCAAATAAACAATTATTATGCTGTATTGCTAGTGATACCCGAATGGCTCTACATTGCTAAGAACCAACACAAATCCTGTTTTTCCTGCTCTTCCTACAGTGTTCCGAGCTATCTGGAAGTATACAACACAAAGGGCAACATTTGCAGGTGAAGAACAAAGCCAAAGAATGCAGTTCAATAGGTCCCACTAGAGGCTGCCTCCAATGTGGATTCAGTTCTCATGTTAAAAAGTTTATAGCCAGGTACAAAAGATCAGATCAGAAAGAGTGAAAAGTGCAACACAATTCAGAGATGGAGAGAATTTGCCTTAAAAGTAAAAGTTGCGCATTTTAAAACATGTTGGTAGTTCCAAGGAACAATTCTATTTTGAAGTCAATTTACCATTTGTGTCGCACTTTTCCAAGTTG